AGTAAACGCAAAGCATCCAGCCCACCTCTCCAAATGCGTAAAATGATCATCACAGTCGTTAGGCGCGCCGCGCGCACCATCAGCTGATCGGCCCAGACAAGAGCAGAGCAAATAGTCTAGAGAAAGAATAGAGGATAATTGTGTCTGGATGTGGATGGAGATTACATTTTACAGCAGCCTGATCATCATTTAAACACGTAAACCATCACCTGTCTTCTAGTCCACGCTGTCAGCATTATTTTAATTGGTGTGTGTGTGTGTGTGTGTGTGTGTGTGTGTGTGTGTGTGTGTGTGTGTGTGTGTGTGTGTTTTCCACTTCAAACACTGGTCTAACCAACCAGACCAGCGTGTCCAGTAACATATTAATGTTACAATTAAACAGTTTCCCTTCATGTAGGCTAGGAACATTTCACCTGCCGTGGCCCGACCGCTTCTGCTCCACATAAACTTTGTGCGTGATCAAATGTCTCTACGCATCATGCGTCTCCATATTAGAGACGGGAACAAGCGCTGTTCAGCCAAAGTTTCATAATTTCATAAAAAGAAAATTTTTCCAAGTGACACATCCCTCAGAGAGACCGGGTTTCCAGACTGTTTCAGTGGGAGGAAATCTTATCGCATGCGCCGTTCTGCACTGCGCTGCGAACCCCTCAGATCTTCATCCCACTGTCCACCGTGGGCGCTCCGAGCCGCGCTGAACACAGTGTCCAGTATAAAGCTCTGATGTTCTGATGGGAATATTTTACCTCCGCGATGTGCGTTAACGATTAAAATGTCAGCTCATCCATGTGCATCAGTGTGCGTCGGGGTGATTCTTTCAAACCAAGCAACATCCTTGAGTTCATCTGTCAAAATAAACAGTCAAATGGAAATATCTGCAACCTGCCGTTTAACTGTTTTGCCTTCCTGTGAAGATTGTTGCAAAGAGAAACAATTAAACTTGATTAACCCCAGAGCCACCCAGAGAACCAGAGCGCATGCGGAAGGTTCCTCCCACTGAAGCGAGTGTTTTCCAAACCCGGTCTCTCAGAGAGTCTTGTCACTTAGAAAATGTTCCCTGATTATGAAACTTTGGCTGAATAGCGCTTGTTCCCGTCTCCAATGTGGCGACACATCCAGGAGCCGTCTGAGGAGAATCCCAGAATCTCACATCCTCTTCAGCTCAGAATGCGCCTATGATTACGCACAAGCGTGACGCATCAACCCGGTCTCACAGTAAGACCGGGTTGGACCTGTTCAGGTTTACGCAGACAATCTTTACATTTAGAATTGACATACAGATGTAAAATTAATGCAGTAAAATATAAAGCATTTTATTTAAATATCCATTCATTATTTTACAAACAGAGAGCCGCATCAGATGGATGGAAGAGCCGCATGCGGCTCCAGAGCCGCCGACCCCTGTGCTAGCCTACTTTATTGTCCCCAGCAATTTTTAAACCCCACCCAAGTGTATGGTTATTGTCCCCAGCAATTCTGAAAACAAAATGATGCCCTTGACACACACGCATGCACGCGCGCACACACACACACGCGCGCGCACACACACAAGCACGCACACGCATGCACGCACACACACACACACGCGCGCGCACACACACACACAAGCACGCACACGCACGCATGCACATACACACACACACACACACACACACACACACACACGCACGCACACACACACACACACACACACACACAGCATCAGAGAAACTCTGATTTGTATAGATGCTACCGTCTGAATGTGATCCAGTCTCGTTACTCAGAGGATAAAAAGTGAGCACATTACACATGAAGCAGGTAAATGTTGCACATTCTTTATTGGAGAGGACTTGCATACGTTAAAGCAACAGCTTGGATCTTTTGAAGCAGCGTTCCAAGTAGGTTATAAAAAATGAACATCCTATCCGAACACTGAGGAGCCTACTCAAGCATCAAACACCAACGGGGATTGTTGTCATTTAAAAAAAAACACTGAATTATGTCAGTGGCTGACGTAAATCACAGATTTACGCGTTTGTTAATTTTACATTAGAGTTGTATTCACTAAGAGCTCTGTGGGTATTTGTAGCACAACTAACAGATGAATATTTCTGCTCGGATCACTGTGTGTTCTGAGTTAACCTGCTGTGGAATGGATGAAACCCGGTTTCAAACACCAAACTTCCACTTTGCTCCGAGTCTAGAAAGTCCGAGTGTTATCTGAGACTACGACATTCACGCCGCTCTACCTGCACGGGAGAGCCTGTCCAGTAAACAAGCAGGAGGAATGGTTGAATTTCAAGGAGATCAAACTCTTTTTTTCTCAAATGTGACTCAGTTGCAGCCAAGATACGAGCTCTTCGTTTAGTCTGGTGAAGAAAAACACTTAAAACCAGAGGTGTGACATCGTGGCGTCACCAAGTCATCTCCATGTCATGTTCTTGTTCTGCTCAGCAACAAAACCAGGTGATTTCAGTCAGCACAGTGAATGAACCCGGTTCAGTTGCTGAGCAGAACAAAAACATGACATGGAGATGACATGATGATGCCACAATGTCACACCTCTGCTTAAAACTGTGGTGTGTGTGTGTGTGTGTGCGCGCGTGCACATGTGTGTTTATGCACCCGAGTACGGGTGTGTGACACTGCAGCACAGAGAACAAGCCTCTTCACACCCACAGCTTTCGACTTCTTCTTCACTAATTCTTTGTCTGGTTGTGTTCCTCCTCTTTCCACGTCAGGAACACATTCATGTGATTAAGCTGCTAATACACCGTCACACAATCGTCTAATTCAGCAAGGAGGAATTAAAGGAATCAGGCATGAGTCATTAGCCAGTGGAGATGTTCTGTTCAGCACTTTCAATAAGGCATCTGGAGAGCCATGAATCACTTATATGGCGTGAAAACATTCTCTACTTGCCCTGTAGTTTTTATTTGCACGGCGGTATATATAAGTGTGCACGCGCGTGGCGTTAATTGCCATTTGTGAGCGTGAAAAATTGGACGTGGGTGAGGTAAAGAGAAACAGTTCAATGCATATAATCCATCTGAACAATCAGCCAATGCAGTGAATTATTGCCCATTGTAAACATTTAGATATTCTGGGCAAGGTACTTAATTGCAATCAATGTTTGCTCTGTTGCAAGCACAGAGGAAAAACCCAACTCACCGCTGCAAGAGAGGAGGCTCATAAAAGGCAGGCAGGCTGTGAAAACTGCGTTTTTCTGTTTTTTAAGTATGACGGGAAAATTCTAGCCTTCGCTAAATGCCTAATAACCTGAGCTGGAAGACGTTACACTTCCCATTGATGCTCTCAAATTGGTCTCTTTTGATCCACACTGCGTGACACACATACAGGTTTACCTGTTTTGCTCCCACGGCTCATTTGCCTTTTAAAACTCAAGAAGGAAATGGTGCACAAGGAGAGAGTATCTCTGTTTTTCCTGATCAGCCACCAATTAATATCTCCTCTGGGCCAGATGGAGAGGAAAACACAATGGATGTGTGTGAGTCTTGGTATTTGGGGGGGGGGGGGGGGGGGGCTGAGAACTGTGGTGAGTTGCAGTGAACTCACGTTCTTGATGAGCTCACTGTTTGGCAGCTTTAATTGTGCTGCTGCGTGACACAGGCGGGAGGGCGCCAAGGCCGAGGGAGAGAAGGGGTGAGGTTGGGTCCATGGAGCACCCAGAGATGAAGTGGGTAATTGAGTGCAGGATAAACACTGCCAACCACCTCGGAAGCCCCCCTTTCATAAAGGAAGAAAAGAGAACTGAGAAAAAAAGGGGGAAAGAGGAGAGGAAAGAGAAAAGGGTGAGACAGGGAGAAAATCCCGTCTCCCCTCTGGGGAGGGGGGGGGGGGGGCTGCTATTGAAAAGCTATTAAACTTGCATTTAGCAGGATTGATTAGAAATGAAGAGGCCTATTAAAAGAGAGGGACAAGAGGACAATAGCGCGTCTCTGGCCGCCGTATGTTGCCCTCCTTTCAGAAGCTTTCTTTGCCTTTTGGGGGGAGGGGGGGGCTGTCTGTTTAAGGGCTCCCACCAAGAGAAGCAGTTAAAGGGGGGGGGGGGGGGGGGGGGGTAGGATGAATGGCATCGTCTTTATCTTTCTTCGTCTATTCTTCACCGAGCAACAAAGACATAGAGATGCAGAAGGGAGAAGTTTTTTTAATAAGTCTTTTTCCCAAATCAGAGACAACCACCCGCCTCTCCCTCTCACCTCCTGCTTTCCCCCGCGGATTTGTTTCCTCTGGAGTGCTGCCATCTTTCTCTGCCAGTGGGATTTGTAATTCTCAATCTTTAGCATAGTGCCACAAACAGTCGGAGCCCCAAATCCGCGTTCACGCATGTGAGTGTGTGTGTGTGTGTGTGTGTGTGTGTGTGTGTGTGTGTGTGTGTGTGCGCGTGTGAAGACAAGCCAGCCAATCCAGAGAGAGACGGCGTGCCTTACTTAAACACAGCAGCGAAACGGCAGCAGGTGTCTCCGCTGACTTTCAGCGGGCTCAAACGGATGACTCCCCCGGGAACTTTAATGGAGTTTTGATTGTTTAACATCCATTTCTACAAAGAAAAGAGAAAAAAGCCGGAGTGAAAGAGTGGCAGATTTTCCTCCCCAGAAGTGTGTTTGCTCCATGTCAGTGAGCATATAAGCATATGGTCTTTAGAAACGGGTAAATAACTTATGAGGTGCTGCTGACTCTTCCACTTAGGAAGGGAAAAATAGTTTCACACATGTCAGCCTTGCTCAGTCTCTCTGCGAGTGTCATGACAACATCAAAAAAATGAGCGGCCCGGCTCATGGCCGCCTGTGCTTTCTCATAATATGGTAATTTTTGCAGCTTTTCTAGCAAAAGTTCAGCTTGATCTGGCACCGCAGAGACGTCTTACTCATGATGTACCTTCATGCATGCTGGTGGTGGCTCCAGAAGGGTGTCGGGAAGAGGATCCGGTTGACCTCTCGTCTGGTTGCTGCTTTTGTAGCTTCATCGTTCACGTGATCCTTTTTCTGTTTGAACCCCAGCAGCCACCAAAGCGGCCTACTTCTCCCAGCAGCCCCGTGACCAGGTGGTGGTGTCGGGTCAGTCGGTGACCCTGCCGTGTGTCATCGTGGGCTACAGCGGAATGGTGCAGTGGACCAAAGATGGTCTCGCCTTGGGTGGAGAGCGAGACCTACCAGGTACCCCCCGTGTGTTTCCTGTGTTGTTGTGATCGATGCCAGGTCTCATTAGACGCCAGCTCCCTCTCTGTCAAAGCCACCAGGTTTTACACAAATGAATGGCGGGGGAAGAATGCGCTGCTGACAGACCGGCTGCTGCTGCACACACCAAACTTTAATTTGTTGCTTAGCATTTTAAGAGTCTTGTAGGAAGCAGGATAATCAATTGGCTTTTGTCACGCACTGACATTTAAACGTGTAGCAGAGTAGAGAGAAGGCAGAGAGGCTTCCTCTTGACCTTAGCAACCTCATTTTTATTGTGTCTGTGTTTAAAGGACACTCTCCTCATGCAGCAGCCTGCTCACGTGTTGCGTTCCTGCCTCACGCTGCTCTGCTAGCACAATAGCTCAATGCCCGGCTCTGAAAGGTGCCACGGGCTTTTGGTTTGTGTCTCATAAAGAGCTTTTCCACATCCTTGCCTTTGTTCAGTGCACAAGTCTGTTTATTTCTTATTCGCCTTTCACAGCGCGTGTGTTGTTGGTTTGGATTGTTCACATCTAACTCCGTTCTCTGTGCTGGCTTCATGCAGGCTGGACGCGCTACTCCTTAATGGGCGACCCGCCATCAGGCGAGCACAGCTTGCTGATCGATTCAGCAGAGCTGGCGGATGACGCGGTGTATGAGTGTCAAGCTACACAGGCGGGGCTCCGCTCCCACCGTGCCAAGCTCACTGTTCAAGGTAAGATGCAAAGCTCACTGGTGATCCTCGCAGCCGGCCCCGGTGCCAAGGCCGGCAGTCTGGCTGAGCTCTGGGGAAAAAATAAACTTCTCCAGAAAGCACATAAAGCATGCTGACAAATCCATCTGTAACACAAGCAAAAACCTAGAAACACTCGTGTGAGAGTCAAGGGTGACACGTTAAGAAACATGTGTGACTTGGACCTGACCTATAAAAAGATTCTGGTTATTATAAATCCAGTTTCTTGCCAACAAAGACGTCTTTAAAGGGTGCAGAGCAAAAGGAAAAGGAAACGCCTCTACTCTCAGTGGCAATAATCAAGACCGTACGGGTCCAGGATAATGTGATTGCTGCAGTCACAAACCACTTGCATAGTCGCTCAAAAGTCCAAATCTGCACAGTTAGCACATTTTACAGTGAGCCATAACATCTATCAACCGCGAGGCGGTTTTCTACATTAACGTGACGTGAGTGATCTACATCTTCACGCAGAAGTGGAGGGGGTGAAGTCAGCGTGCCGGGGATCAGGAGTGACAGATCGTGTGGGACGCAGCAAAGCACTGCTGGCATCTGGTGGCTTGCACAGGAACATCACTCCATTAATTAGTCCTGTCAATAGTCGATGAATTACTGCAGCAGCTAATTTCATCTGTCAAGAGGAGAAACTGAGAGGGAAAACATTTCAGACGTAAACCAGCCGTGTGTTTAACTCTAGCGCTGCTTATATGAACAAGAGCTGAAAAACGTCATCGTTTAGCACAAATACAGGTTCCAACAGGGCCGCGTGGTTAGGAGCACGGCACCGGTTTACGAGAGAAACCAGGAAGAGTTTGTGTAAACATGAGCATCAAACAGGAAGGAGGGGGCAGTAGTGTGTGTGTGTGTGTGTGTGTGTGTGTGTGTGTGTGTGTGCGTGCGTGCGTGCGTGCGTGCGTGCGTGCGTGTGTGTGTGTGTGTGTGTGTGTGTGTGTGTGTGTGTGTGTGTGTGTGTGCAAATCAATGTGGCCAGATGAGACCAAAGCAATCCCGCACAGTCACAGGAGTCAACGGTGGGAGTGCAGTCAGGGGAATCGGCATGGAAATTAAAATCACCTAGCACTCGGATTCCATTAGTGTTCGTGCCGCTGCAACGGAAGGACCTCTGACAATTCAGATGCACGCGGTGAAATTGGTTCGGTGGAGGGTGCCAGAAAGGCCAGCACAAACCCCATGTTCATGCCTGCTCTCATTGGTTGGGGAGATAGACGCCTTCATCAGGGGTGGCACGCTCGGCTTGCCGGTGGCGCGTGCGAAACCATGCAAATAAATGAACAAATAAGCAATTCAGCTGAAACATCACTCCGCAACAGTAGGAGCAAATAGAGTAATAATGTTAGTCTGAAGAAAGGAAATAAATAAGGCTGAGTGTTTCTGTTTTCTGCCCAAATAACAGCTGTTCTTGGTCTGTTCTCGTGGCTAAAACTACGTCTAGTTAACCGACACCGAGCAAAGAGCAACAGCTGATTCCTGTGCTCGCCCAGTGCTGTAACTGGTGTGCGTGTGTGTGTGTTTTCTCCACAGTTCCTCCCTCGGACCCTGTGGTAGAAGGCGGTCCCGTTGTGCGCCTAAAGGCCCACACGCCTCACAACCTCACCTGCCGAGCCTCGGGAGCCAAACCCGCCGCAGAGATCACCTGGTACAGAGACGGCGAGGTCATGGAGTCTGCCATTTACTCCAAGGTACAGCAAGAGCCCATCCAAGCCGGCTGCTTCCCATCCAGTCACAAACACCAGTGCCGTGCTGCTGAGGGAAGCAGTGGGCGGGGATAAACGCGCAGCAATCGGAAACAACAACGTTTCCTCTCTCTTGTTATGACACTCAGTCACTTATTTACTCCCATTCTTGTCTTTCTTCTCATCTCAGATGTTTTTTATGAATCTATCGCCACCCTTTCCTTTCAAGATTTGTTCTCTCACCCTCTGCAGTCCCCCTCCCACTTCCACTCACGCCTGACCCCCCACCTTCTTCTCTTCCTCCTCCACAACCCCCCCACTCCTCCCTTCCCTTCTACCTCCCCTTCGCTCGCTAATGCAGCCACACTACAGCATAACTGGAGCATGCCAAAGCTCAGACAGGCATGAGTGTTTCATACAGTAGAGCTTCTGCAGAGGAGATCACCCACAACAATGTGGAGACACAAAGGGGGGATGCGCCAGAGCCGGAGCCAGCCGCGGCTGGGAAAGTGTCACATTCTTCATGCTCTCTGACCACGCTAAACGACGCTAAACGGCGCGTTTAAGGAAGCAAAAGCCTGCAGTGAGGAAGGAGGGCAGTACTAGGGTTGGAGTGGGGAGGAGGGGAGTGAGATGGGCATTAATTTAGAGGTAGCCAGTGAGGCGGCGTTGTGGAAAACCGAGAATCTTCCCCAATTGATGCTGAGGTCAGAGACAAAGCTCTTTCCTAGTGAGTGTTGGCGACAGTGAGCGATGTGATCTGATCCTGCATAAAAATGCTTTATGTGTGCGTGGAGGAAGTGAAAGACCTTCTCCATTGATTCGGCTGTCAAGAGAAAAGGTTCAGCTTTTCAGAGATGTGTGACACTTCTCTCACCGCCACCACCCAAAACAAAGACTCCCGTCAATGTGGCCGCTGCAGGAGTCTTTTCCTTCCTCTCTCGTCTCTTCAGGTGTGTGTGAGAAACCGAGAAAGTGAGGGAGCAGTCAGCCGTATCCTGAGAATCTACACCTTTTGCTCACTTAGAAGTATTGATTTCTGAGCAGTAAATAGATTTAAAAGATGATGACAAACAAGGAGCGCTGACGGGGGAACACTCCCAGAAATGTGGGAACAGCACAATATCCTCTGCTGCATCATAAAATACGTGATTTACCTGACATGCCAAAGCACAGGAGAGCAATTTTAATGCTTGGCACGTGAAAAAGTAAGGCCTGTGGTGAGGTGTGGGATCACACGGTGGCTTGTTTTGTGCAACACTGGGCTGATTTCCGGTGTTTGAGCTGCTGTGTTGTTGTGGTCCACTTCTACAGTCACTAATGGAGGATGGGAAGAGGGAGACATCTGTCAGCATGCTTCCAATCATTCCTGAAGACAGCGACTCCGGACGCACCTACACCTGCAGGGTCCTGAACCCAGCTGCTCCCGCTGGTCGACAGACATCCATCACCATCAATGTCCAGCGTGAGTCCAGCGTCAAGACCTTAAACCCCTTAAAGCCTGAAATGTATTCAGAAAGTTAGATTTTCTTAACACGTGTAAGAAGTTTGATTCACCCACCTGTAGTACTGAGAATGTCCACCAGATGGCAGAAACAGATTTGTAAGGAAAGAACTAACCCTGTTAAAGAGGAAGAGGCCTTTCAAACTTAAAACATGTCATTTTTAAAACATTTGGTGTGAAAGGGAAGGGTGCATGCTAAAGATGGATTCAGTCATGGTTTCTGGTCATTAACATGGACGTTTCTGCTTCTCAAAGACCCCCCCTCAGTGACGCTATCAGTTCAGCCTCAGACTGTGACCGAGGGAGCGAAGGTTCTGTTCATCTGCTCGGCTTCAGCCAACCCCGAGATCACAGGTTACAGGTATCCACCCGTCCATTCCTCATTTTATTTGCAGATTTTCAACAATATTTTGTGTTAATAATGTCCAAGAAGGTGCTGCTAAACAAACGTCTGCGGTAGGATGCTGGACCTAGACTCTTTGTGCTAAACGACTCTCTTGATCGGCGTGAGCCTTGAGTCATCTAATAGCTACTTTGACACGCATGGCTAATTTGCTAATTGGCTCCGCCAACCGAGTGCAAGGATTTAATGTGATCATCGGTGTGACCAAGGTGGTCAAAAGGAGGCGTGCCGATCTCTGAAGCCAACGGGGACAGCCTTGAGGTGACAGTGGACTACTCCTACTTCACTGACCCCGTTTCCTGTGAGGTTTCCAATTCCGTGGGCAGCACCAACGTCAGCACTCTGGTCGATGTGCAATGTGAGTTTAACTGAGGAACGTTTTCATGCCGTGTGGCTGCATTTAGAAACTTTTGAGGCCTCGAAGTTTGCTCCTTATTGATTGAGACTGTCTGTTTGCTTCACCCCAGTTGGCCCCAGACTGCTGTCGGAGCCCAAGCCGATGACAGT